TTCATTTTAAGGCCAATGAGCCATCCTGAAGCTGGCATTTCTAGTAGTTTACTTGCTTCGGCACGACCATTTGGGACACTTAGATTAAACAATGATGCCACAATGCATCTCTTTACCCCAAAAAATAAGGATCTTATGCCTATAAGCACACTTTGCCAAGCTTGCTCGTTAGGGAAATTGATTTTCTAAATCATCGCTAGCAAAGATATGAAATGACCCTCTTTTCAAAGTGGATTCAAGGAATATATGTGGACTAATTCAACCAACATGCAGGCCATATATATACTTACGGTTTTGGTTGATGAATCGACAAATTGGTCACATGCTTGTCCACACACATTACTGCTAAACCTTCTGGCCGATTTTAAGGGATCACCACCATAATTATCCCATAAAGTCTGGAAGACTGGATAATGCTAAAAAGTTTATATCAAGGGCTTTCAATAAGTATTGCATTTCTTTTGGGTTTATAATTGAACGTCGAATTCCAATGTTCACCCTAAAATAGCTTCGCAGAATGATCATAAAAGTGCAATTTAATTGATCTTCCAAACCTTGGTGAATGCACCAAGCTTTCGATTTCTGCCTAAAGCTATGCAATCTTGTACACAACTATGTTGGTCCCTTAAGTCCTATTACCACCCGACTTATTCGACATTACAGTTAGTTACTGGGTACGAACCTGACGTTTCCTACCTACACATTTTGGGTATGTATGCCATATGCCAAGTTGTGATGTTGCAAAGTACCAATATAGGTCTTCAAAGAAAGATGTGAATCTTTGTCGATTATGATTCTCCTTCGCACTAGCTCTTAAGACCCTTCCAAGCGATCTCTTTACCACTTATTTCCGGACTGTCACTTCAATGAGACAGTCTTCCTACCGTTAAAAGGAGTTAAGAACGTCAACGTTTCTATAAAACGGCGCGAATTTGCGTGGACGTTACCCACTATGTCTTATCTTGATCCCCGTATCGTATAAGTGTGATAAACAAGTGCGATGTATTCTAGCTTTCAGAATGGTGCTCGAGACATATTTCTCTGATCTAGCTAAAGTGACAAGATCATATACCAGCTACAAACATGCCTGCATGGATATACATACTTAACGGACACCAAGCCAACATCCCAGAATGCCACCTTTACTGCACGGTTTGGCCACCCTTGTTGGACGGTCCAGTACACCGACGGATAGCTAATCAATTTGTCTTGACTGAAGCACAACAAATCACTTAGTTCATACGATTTAGTTCCCTAGAAGAGGAAGGTCACATCACAAAATGAATCTATACTCGATCGTTATCTCAATCATTTCCATCTCATGAGATCAATCCAGATTACTCTTGAGACTTAAAGTTTTTGATCCAGTGTACTAGTTTAGATGAGATATGGAATTGGAATGAGATTATCATCGATGATGTTTTCACTTATATGGTAGATATCGACATGAATGAAAAGCAATGATATCGAACCGCGTTTCGTTGATTAGTGACAACGTAGAATTGATTGGACAACCAAAATTACAATTCAGGTTAAATTCCTTACCAAAGTTTTTTTGGATCTATTATTCCTACACTGCCAAAGGTAACCCTGCTATGTTAAAAGTGGGAAAAGAAGTGTAATGAGATGAATGAAATAGTGCAAAGTAATGCAAGCCTAGGGCGCAAGGTTTGTCTCAAACACCCTGTGATTGACAGCAGCATTATGAAATGTGGTTAGTGTTTCTCCATGGGGATATTAATATGGAGATTTACATGTAAGTTCCCGAAGAATTACATGGACTGGTTCAAATAGTTCCAAACCACGAAACACATTCTCAACTTGTTTAAGGCATTCACATACGGATTGAAGCAATCCGGTGGATGTGGTAAACCTGTCTAAGTGATTATTTGATCAGTCAGGAATAAATTATGCCCATATGTATTAAACTATGAAGTCATATTTTGAATTGCTAGAGTTACAGTTCATGTCAATAACATGAATCTTACTAAAACTCTAGAAGACCTTGACAAAACTATCTTGGTTAGTATAATGGCACAATTAAAGGTGTTGAACCATAGGGACTGATTAGACCTCTATAAATTACTAGCCTTGAAAGAACCCTCACTAAACAATAAAAGTAACAAATTGAATGTAGTTTTTGTGGTGTAAACAAAAATAACTTCAGATGCAAGAAAAGTACAACAACGATGACATGCTGATTGAGAAACGATGAGGATAGGATCAGGGATTTCGAGTTCACCAATACACAAACAATTCCATGTTTATAAAGTTAAGCCATATTCAATTACCAACCTGTTTCCAGAGTTCGTTCACATATATATTATCAGTCATATGATGTGTGGTTTGATCAAAATCTTCTAATCTACAACCTAATTGGGATGTTCAACTTTGGTTCCAAATTAAGAGTCTTTAGCGTGCAAGAAAACATTAAAGAACCATAGAAAGTACCTGGCAGCATGTTTGCATAGCATTATCTTCATTCATTCACATGTCTATCAAGATTAAGCATGATGTTTACTATAATCTTAACCAAATGATCTGTAAAAAATCCTAATGGTGATCAATCATTAAAATTAACAAGCAAATTAAAAAAAAAAAAAAAGATTTAGTGAATGAAACAAGAGACAAATTGATGAATTGAATACTTTAACATAAAAACATGGGTCAATTGTGCAAGGCTAAATCGAAATCCCTGGTTATGAATTTAGTTACACATCATGTTCACGGAGATGAAATTTGAAACACACAACATGAGTGAAAAATATCAAAGAGAGAGGAAACCAATGAAGCAATTCTGATGTTGAACTTCTCCAAGAACAGCCTGATGGGATGAGTCTTCGATGATGGTGGAAGTGTATAAAATGGATTAAATTTTGAGTGTGGATGAAAAGAGTGAAAAATAGTGGCTGGAGGGGTGAAATTCGCTCAGAATGAAAGGTGTATGTAAAAGTGGCTGAAATGCTAGGTTTTATGACGTTAAAGAGGCTATTACAGATTGCCAATACATCCTAGTAATTGGGCATTTAATTCCAATGTTTTTTGCTATTATTCGTCTTGTAAAGAGCCATATTCATCACCATCTATAGTTTACACTTTTAATTCTCTATCTAATTCAACATCCTTTTTCAATTCTCCACTTTTAGTACCATTTTGCCTCATTTGTCCTCAAGTGAGCTCCAAAATATGATTAGCTGCACACTAACACAAAAGAAGGTAAAATGTAACATGTTTAACTCAAAAATATCACAAAGAGACTAGGAATAGATGATATAAATGTATGAAATATGTGAGTTATCAAATACCCCCAAACCAAGTTTTTGCTAGTCCTTTGAGCAAAACTAAAACTAAAAACAAACAAAACAAAGAAAAATCTAACTAGACCACTTTTGCTGGCTAAACGATTACACTGAGCATGTGCAACAAGCCTTTAAACCTCTAGTAGGAGGAGTTGTGTCTCCTGAGGGTTTACAGCGATGACACCCACAAACATCTATAGACTCGACAATCAAATTGGTTAAAACTCACTTGAAACAAACTAATAAGAACCAATGAATGCTTAGTCATACCATTAAATGAAACAGTGCCACTTCAAAGAATCATATCAAGTGAATAGTGTAAAATTATTGCTCCCTGACTCATGACTTCAAAAGCACCATACTCAAAGACCATAGAATTTGCCTCAACTCTAATTCTCATAGGTTGTCACTCAAATTTTCACTTAGATCCTAAGTTTTAGTCTTTCATCAAACATATGTAAGTGAAGTTATGTAGAAGGGAATCAAAATTCTCACATATAAAATATGAAATAAAAGCACAATTTCTTAACATATCTCGTGAAAGGAATCAAACACTAAGAATATTGATAGCACACATACTTTCCAGCATCCATGAATACATCCTCAAAGATCACAAGGTTGTAATGTAAGGCTTAGGTGAGTCTTATGAAAGAATGGATAGGAAATACTAGAGCCTAGGACACACCAAAGTGTCTTCCTTGTGAAACCAGCAAGCTCTCCTCTTGAATTGGTCATTGTTGTTTGTTCGTGGCGTCTAGGACCCATGTGTGGTAGTGGAAGGATTTGAAAATTGCATCATTTTTTTTTCCTTTCTTTTTTTCTTTTTTTTATTTTGAAACTTCTTTTATTTTGTAATTCCAGCACATGTTACCTCGGTACACACTACATTTTAATGTAAAGCTCAATCATTGTCATTGTCTTCATCACTTTGGTATTCCCCAAACTATAGGGTATGACTGTAATGGGCTAAGATGGGTAAAGAAATATAGTGGCAAGAAAAGAAAAACACTGAAAGTGTTTGGTTGCAACAAGGGTAAGGGCACACACATAAGGGTAGGAAATTAAGCCTTTTGGTGGTTTAAACATGCATAGCCCAACATCGTCTCAATGAGTTCAGTCATGAGTGATACTAAACACATGGTATCTACAAAAGAGAATAATTCTTAGCATTCAATCAAACAGAAGTAATGAAATCATTTGAAGTGAAATTGAAAGGAAAAGATACGAGTAAAAACACTTTAAACCCTCTTAAAGATGCAAATAGGCTCAAAATAGCTCACTAAGGTAGTCTCTACTATTCTTCTTCCAGAACTTGAGCATGACACTTCAACCACCATAATTCAAGAGTAATAACTTTGTGAACTATAAAAATTATGATATGGAACTTTTCATGATAACACTATAGTCAAATTGTATACACATCCATCATATACATTCACATTAGTAAGCAAAAGCAAACTTTAACCAAAACTAAAATCAAAAGAAAATTTTCAATTTCCAACACCCCTAAACCTTAATTAAGCATTGTCCTCGATGCTGAAAAATGCATGGAATCCATATAATGCAAATAGGTAGAGTGTGCATGGAATGAAAATAAAACAAAAACAAAAAGACACAAATAAAAGGAAAGAACACAAACCCAGCTAGGTTGCCTTTTAGCAAGCGCTTTATTTAATATCTAGGCAAGACATGCCATCATGCTTATGTTGTTGTAAACTCGAGAGCATCCATAACTAGATAGACTTGCTCTTGTGTGACATTCTCTAAGTAAGGCTTCAAACGTTGCTTATTGACCTTTAAATGAGTGTCATTCTCGATGCTTTCTATCTCCACAGCTCCATAGGGAAATACTATAAGCACTTTGAAGGGTCCAACCCATCTAGACTTCAATTTACCTGGAAAGTCGCAAACGTGAGTCATACAAAAGTACTTTCATACCTGATTGAAACTCTTTCCTGAGAATTGCTTTGTCATGGTAGAGCTTGGTTTGTTCTTTGTAGATCCTAGCATTCTCAAATGATTCGTTTTTTAGCTCTTCCAACTCATTAAGTTGGAGCTTCCTCATTGTACTAGCTTCTTTGACATCAAAATTGAACTTCTTTATAGCCCAATATGCACGGTGCTCAAGCTCCATCGGCAAATGACATGTTTTTCCAAACACAAGACGAAAATGGCTCATTCTAATTAGAGTATTGTACACTGTTTGATAAGCCCAACTGTATCATTCAACCTTCGTGACCAATCCTTCCGTGTAAGGCTAACACTCTGCATCATGATGTTCTTTATATCCCTATTGTTGATTTCCACTTGGCCAGAGGTTTGAGGATAGGATGAAGGTGCTACTTTATGTGTGATGTTGTACTTCTTTATCAATGCCTTGAAAGATTTGTTGTAGCAGTGGTTGCCACCATCGCTAATGATAGCTCTTGGAGTTCCAAACTTAGTGAAAATCATATCCTTCAGAAAATTTAGGACAACCTTGTGATCATTAGTTTATGTAGCTGCTGCTTCAACCCATTTGGATACATAATCTACTGCATGTATATGTATCCAAAAGAAGACGGAAATGGGCCCATGAAGTCAATTCCTCACAAGTTAAATAGCTTCACCACCAAAATGTTATTCAATTGCATTTCATTCCTGCAGCTGATATTTCTCATTTTCTAGCACCTATCACACTTAGAGCAAAAATTAAAAGCATCTTTAGACAATGTAGGCCAAAAGAAACCAGATTGTAAAACCTTTAAAGCTATTTTTCGACACTAAAATGACCTCCACATGCCAACTCATGACTGAATTTTAGTATGCTTTGCTACTCACTCTCTAGAACACATCTTCGAATGATTTGGTCAAGGTAATACTTGAACAAATATGGCTCATCCTAAACATAGTGTTTCACTGTTGAAAGGAACTTCCTTTTTTCTTAAAAGTGAAATCATTTCTAATTACACCACAAGCAAGATAATTAGCAAAATCAGCATAGCATGACTCTTTTTCTTGAATGACAAGAAGCTATTCATCCGGGAATAATTTGTTGAACGGTAAAATTTGTCTATCTCCATTGTTTTCATCAACAATGCGTGACAAGTAATTAGCAACAACATTTCACTCCTCTTCTTATCTCAAATTTCTTCGATCAAACTCTTGTAACAAGAGTAACCATCGAATCAAGCGTGGCTTAGCATCGTTCTTTGCCAACAAGTACCTAAGAGCTGCATGATTAGAGTAAACAATCACTTTAGAGCCAACAAGATATGAATGACATTTCTCTAAAGAAAAAACAACAGCAAGCAACTCTTTCTCAATTGTAGAGTAATTGAGTTGAGCATCATTTAATGTCCAGCTTGCATAGTAAATCACATGTGGGAGCTTATTCACTATTTAACCTAAAACAACACAAATAGACAAGTGATCTTGGAAAAATCTTTGATGAAATGATAATAAAAACCAGCATATCCTAGAAAGCTTTTGACTCCTTCACTGAAGTAAGGGCAACCATATTTGAGATGATGTCAATTTTTGCTTTGTCAACTTCAATTCCCTTGCTGGATATTACATGACCCAAGACAACACCTTGTTTCACCATAAATTGACACTTTTCCCAATTGAGAATTAAATTTGTTTCCTGACATCTTTGAAGCACTAGAGAAAAATGGTTAAGACAATCATTGAAAGAAGAACCAAAAACTGAAAAATTGTCTATGAATACCTCAATAAATCTCTTAAGCATATTTGAAAATATCGCTAACATACATCTTTGGAAAGTTGATGGGGCATTGCAAAGCCAAAAGGCATCCTCCTATATGCAAAAGTGCCAAATGAGCAGGTGAATGTAGTTTTCTCTTGATCTTCTGGAGCTATTGCAATTTGATGATAACTTGAATATTCGTCAAGAAAACAATAATGTGAGTAACCATCTAATCTCTCAAGCATTTGATCAATAAATGGCATCGGAAAATAATCTTTTCTAGTGTTCAAATTCAACTTCTGTAATCGGTGCAAACACGCCAACTAGCTGCAAGTCTTGTTTGAACAAGCTCTTTATTCTCATTTTTTACCACTATGATTCCAATCTTCTTAGGCACTACTTGAACAACGCTTACCCACATCTAACAACTTCAACACTTCAGCTCTAACTACTTCTTTCACGTGTGGATTGAGCCTTCTTTGTCGTTCACGGGTTGAATTCGCTCCTTCCTCTAATAAAATTTGATGCATGCACATGGTAGGACTTATTCCCTTAATATCTGCAATAGACCAACCAATGGCTAATTTGAACTCTTTTAACACCCTAATTAGCTTATATTCTTCCAATGGGTTGAGGTCAAATACTATGATAATTGTTTAAGCTCAAGTTTTGGAGGCTTAACATATTTTAGATGTGGTGGGAGTTATTTAAGCTCAAGTTTTGGAGGCTTAACAATGGAAGGGACTAAATGTGCGGCAGATGGTTTTAATGGCTCTATAAGAGGTGAAATAGTGAAGGGATATGGTTTTAATGCTTCGAAGGCAGCCACTACTTCCATGAGTGCAAATTCTTCATTCAAAATCATCTTAAGATTGACTCAAGATAGATTGTAACGGATCATTGGATTGTGTCTACAAAAACTTAGGGAAAACAAGTGAATTAAACACATCAATCAAATAACAATCAAGTGAACTAGAAGGGTCAGAAAGAGATTCAAACACTTTGAATTGTACAAGTTTCTCCTAGCACGGTCATAATGAAAAGACCATTTTGCATGTCTATGATAGTCTTTGCAGTGGCCATAAAGGGTCTCCCAAGTAAAATTGGTAACTCACGATTATGTATAGAGCCTAGTTCCATCTCAACACTAAAAAATCAGCAGGCAAAGTTAGTTTGTCAACCTGAACTAAGATATCTTCAACTATACCTCTTGGATATTTCGCTGATCGATATGCCAGTTGCAATGAAATGGTGGTTGCCTTCAAATCCCCAAACCTAGTTAAAGGTACACTGAATAGGGCATTAGATTGATGCTAGCACCCAAATCAAGCATAGCTTTTTCAACTAGCTTGTCTCTAATGATGACATTGATAGACAAAATGCCCAGATCTTTAAGTTTTGGAGGGAGCTTTCCTTGGAGCACAGTACTTACATTCTCGAACACCATTACTTTCTCATTAAGTCCATACTTCCTCTTATAGTTATTAAGCTCTTTGCAAAATTTTCCATAAGCTGGCATATTCCTAATGACATCAAGCATAAGTAAATTAATAGTCACTTTACTTAAAATATCAAAAATTTCTTTAAATGACTTATCCTGCTTGCTTTTTGCAAGTCTTCCAGGAAATGGGATGAGAGGAATGTAAGGCTTTTTAGCCTTGTGAAGAAGGGACATTGCTTGGATCATCATTTAGTTTCTCATTCTCTTCTTGAATCGCACTTGCATCACATGATCAGATTCATTAGTAACTTCATTGCCAACTCCATTATTAATAACCTTACCACTTTTAAGTGTAGTGATTGCTTTGGCTTGCTCTTGCTTGTTTTGGCTTGCTTTTGCTTCCTTTGAAGTATCATTGGTTGGCTCAGAAACTTCCTGGGCTCTTTTTAACTCAAAGCATCGGCAATCTGACCTAATTGTGTCTTCATTTTAGTTAGAGCAACTGAATGTTGTTGAGGTGTACTATTGGTATGCTGGAATTGAATGGTGTTTTAGGCTAGCATTTTGACCATATCTTCAAGTGTAGTGACATGCTTTGGTTCGAAATTTTGAAACTGATTGTTATTCTTTCATGAGAGATTATGATGATTTCTCCAACTAGGGTAATATGTATTAAATAATAAGTCGTTCCTTGGTTTCTAATTGTAAGAATGTATGAGGTTCACTTGCTCTTGAACTAATTCGAGATAAGCCTCCCTGCTCGAGAATTGATAAGTAGGATGACTTGGTATGTTGCAAATGGCACACACCTCAACTATTTAGGGCATTGTATTGAGCATGGAATCAAGCTTCTTTTCCAAACCAGCCACCTGCAATGCAAGATTATTATTAAAGCTCATTTCATACACTTCATCTCGTTTACCTCTTGTATCTTTGTGTTAAGCATTAGATCCCAACATCTCATAGATGTTATATGACTCTTATGCATTCTTTTTCTTCAAAGCTCCACCTGCTGCATTGCCAACAATAGATTGACACGTTTGGGTTAATCCATCACAAAAAAATTGCATTTGTAAGTAAAGAGGTAACCCATGATGTGGACATTGCAGTAAAAGCCCTTTAAAATGCCCCTAACATTCATTGAAAGGTTCCCCATCATGTTGTGCAAAGTTGAAGATTTGCCTCAAAGTAGTTGTCTTTTGAGTAGAGCAAATTGATCCAAAAATTTCTTAGCTACGGCATCCCAAGTAGTTAGCGAACCAGGTGCTAAAGTCATTAGCCAACCCTTAGCTTTATTTTTCAATGTGTAGGGAAAAACTTTAATCCTCAAATTTGCTCCACTCACAACATTATAGTATTCCATAATATGAGCTAATGGATCTTCATTATGTAAACCATAAAGAGAAGGAATCATATGAAAATGTGAAGATTTGAGATCATTTGGAAGTCTTGTCAAACTTTGGGGGAATATCCAGAAGTATATTCACTTAATCTTAATGTACTCGTTTTCCCTTCGATTATGAGCATTTTTCTCACTGGTTTTTACTACCTAACTAAGTTTTGACAAAGCACTCATCCTAGGCTGGTCATACCCTTATGAGCTCTTCTACTTGTGTCTAGAAGACGTTTAGTTTTGACTTAATGCAACTTCTCACTTTTCTCCTTAGTCTATGGGTTTTTATCCCACCTTGGGTTTTACCATAACGAGGTTTTGTGAGTTTTAGCTCTTATGCATTATTCCGTTGATTTGAGACTCGCATTCGCTCATTGTGCTCACGACTTCATCAACTGAACTTCCTTTGTCGCTAAAGACTTGATGCGCCATTTTCTTGAGCATTTACATACTCAAGGGTGAGTGTTTCAGTTCTATTAGATTAGGAATGTGATTGTGTAAATCCCAAGTATATTTGGGATATCTTTACAAGATTCTCTAGGGTTAGATATTATCCTATTAGAGTTGTAATCCTATTAAGGTAAGGAATTTACCTTCCGTACTACTATAAATAAAGGCACAATGGGGTGAGATAACACACCTCACAAATACACATCTCTCTTTTCTCTCTCTGTGCCGCTGGCTCGTTAACATGATATATAAACGACACAAAAATAATGGATTTCAGGTCGACACGATAACTAATTGGTCATTATTGGGTCACACGATAAGAACTGTTAATAACGGGTCCTTACGAGGTTTGCACGAGGGTGACATATCGGTAACCCATTTCGACACATTAATAAATTTATTTTGATGATTTTAATTTTAACTTTTTAAACTACCAAAAAAAACTTACCATAAAATACAATAGTCATAGTGTATTTGTATATTATTGTATATTAAATATGTATTATTGTATTATTATTCTATATAAATTTAAAAAATTATAAAAACACATTAAAAATAAAATATCAAGTAATTTAAAAATACCAAACACATTAAAAATCTATAATAATAACAGGTCGAATTTGGGTAGGGTCATATACCCATTTACTTTAATGGGTGTTGCATGACACAACCTGTTAAGATATCAGTTATCTCACGAAAACGACACGAATGCTAGGTCTACCGTTGGTCTCCTATCTCCTTGTCCCTAATATACTTCAATAAATTAGGCCTACAACAACAAGATGCTTTTATAGAAATGTCTTATTTTCAATCTTTTGAGAACCATAAAATAATATTTAAAAAAAAAAAAATAAAGTCTATGTTGGGGTAACAACTCTCAAAAGTGGGTTAGTTTAAAGAAAAAAAAAACTCGCAACGACACCGTCCTCTTTTTCTTCATTTAAGTGCAGCCGGTTCTACAACTAAAAAACATTCATATTTCAACAAAAAAAATTTCAAATTTCGGGAATTTTTAAACAAAATGGACGACCAATCAACACCTCAAAGCGCCTCAGTCGCCTAGGAGTGGCTTAACCGCATCTAAGTGAGTTTAAGCCTAATCCTGGTGGACAGAAGCATTTTCATGATCACCCTACCTTCGAAACCACCTAGGCACTTCTTAAGATGCATTTTTTAAACCACTGCTTGCAAGGAAAATTTGCAAGCAAGACAAACATGCTCTTTCTTCCCGGTGACAAACGAGAGAAGAAAATTTGCTGCTCTCTCATTCATATTTGCTCTTGCAAACCCAGTTTCAAACATAATGCCAAGGGTGAAGTGCCGATTTAGTTAATTATCACTTGAAAATAAGGCCCTGAATAATTTTTTGGATAAAATAAGTCCCTAAATTCATTAAAAATTGCTAATTTTATCCCTACTAATATATTCAAAGTTATTTTATCCAATTATTCGTCAACTTAAATTACTTGACACACTTTAGAGTGTAATACCATCATTTTTTCTTGCTTATAAACATTTCATGTAGGTTGCGAATCTAACGTCTAATTTACCCTCTAAAGTTAACTCCATAAACTATTTCTTTATGTAAAATTACCAATCTACTCTCCAATGTGTGTCACGTACAAGTAACGTGACTTAAATTGACAGAAAATTGAATATGGTAGCAACGAATCTAATATTAGGGATGTAATTGGTATATTTTTATAATTCAATGACTGATTTTTCTAAATAAAATAGTTTAGGAACCTAATTTTCACTCAAGTAATAATTTAGAGACTAAATTGGCAGTTTACCCTAATGTCAAATGATCAAATTGATTTAGAGAGCTACTAGACCCACCACATTGTCTTATTTTCCCACCCACGTTAGAATCACACCCACCTTAAAAAGTTAAAAAATTAAAATGCTATTTTCCCACCAACTAGTATTCCCAAAATAACCTTTAATATATACATACATATGAAATATTAAAATTGTCTCTTAAAAAATATTACAAATAATATGTAAATGAAAACCACTAAGGTCTAGAAATTCAAATGGAAACGATAGAGGTATCCAAATTCAAAAGAATTCGACAACAAATTTAAAAATACTATGGACAAATTCAAATGATTTACACACAAATTATTCTTCTACCATTTCAATGGAAACATCCGTAGAAGCATCATCTTCTACTTGTTTAATGAAAAAGTCATCTTCTAAGTCCATTGCTATTTTTTTACTTTCTCTGAATGAAAGGAGATGAAAATATGAGTTAGAGTTTAAGGTAGACAAATTGTCTCCCATGCCCAACCTTTTTTTTTTTTTTTTAAATTAAGCAAAACAAGATCATTAATGTCCCTATCAGTCTTTTTGTAAATGGGCAAATTTGTAATTAAAAAATTCGTTAAAAGATGGGTGGGAAAATAAGACATTGGGGTGGAAATAACGTCACTCTTGATTTATTACTCTGAAAAATAAAAGGCTTAAAGCCAAACCAGGGGATCCTGAAGCATTGAACGAGAGAGAGATAGGGAGAGATTTGCAAGTTGCAACCATTCAAGGCAATGACAGGCCCTACTACAATTGAAGCACCACAATATATTGTCTGAAAATAGTAAACAGATGCAACACATTTTAACAGATGCAACGCTTAAGTGGTACTTACCAAAATATACCGATGAATATAGATCCTAATGTCAAATGCCGAAATCAGAAGCAAATGATCGAGCAACAGATTTGGTGATGAACCCTAATAACAGCAAGAGGAAGTTAGGTAATGAGGTAGAAAAACATCACTTTCAAGTTTCGCGCAATCCAAAAATAAAATGGATCAATGTATCTTCACCAGCATCACTGGAAGATAACCCTCACTGGAAGATAACCCCTTCGCAAGGGCAAGGAATATTAGACGATAAGTTATAGCCGCCTAGCTTGGAGCTGCTCCATGGTGGTACCTCACCAAATTAATCATCCAAGATCCTTGGCATTTTTTAAATTTTAACGATAAAGATAAAATAAAAGGTAAAATGAATAATACCAGGATTGATTTTTTAGTGTAAAAATGCAATTTTTCATTAAAGTGAACAGTATGAGAAGCTTTTCGTTAAAGTTCTTTTTTTTAATAGGATGAAATTTAATCAGTATCAACAAAGATCACTAGACATGTCATTTATCACAATGGAGTGCTGAAGGAATTCTTTGTAACTCGAAAGTTTCAGCAAACCCAATCGCAGGCCGTAAGGAAGTTTCTCGAGTGCATTTCTAAGCCATATGGAAATAAAAATCAATAGCATACACAATCATATATATCTTCTGATTTTCATAAGCTTATACAGAATAAGATCATGAGACTTAAAATATCTCAATGCTATTATTTCGCGCAAGGGAACTTATAAACTAAAATTCTTTCAAATAACAGATGTACATGTACATTTTAACTTTCCAATTGCCTCCAACGCTCTGCTGGAAACCATACTAATCACACTACGTTTGGGAAGAAATCGAAAATAAAGCATGAAAGCGCAAGATCGAGCAGCGCAACGCCAGCAAGAAATGAGGCTACACAACAAGAGCAAGGGGAATGAGTACTGGTTTGGTAGTGCTTAAATTTTTTTAGAAGCAGGTATGAAACAAAAAATCTCAATAAAAATTTGCGTTTCCGTAAGTCTAATATTTTTTTTTTTTGTTTTATTTTTATCAAAATCACAAGTCATTCAAAATCATTTTGTAATACGGTCTAGTCGTATTTCTATTCACTTATATATAAATGATATATCTTAGATTCAAGTTTCATGGATGGTTAATTTGATACTAAATTAGGTTATCTTATTGTATGGCTTAACCAAACTCCTTATAGGATATTGAATCTTTACATCACAGAAGGAAAAGGTTGTCTCCAATTTTTCAGTGTACCTTGAATGGTCAGAAACCAGAAGACCCAGTTCGGAGCATCTTGAAGGCTTCAATCGCTCTAGGGAATGGAGAGCCACTTCCTCGCCCTTCTTCAAGCTTTCGCACAAAATCGGCCTTTGGCGAGAGAATCTCCTCCCAGGGGGCCCGGTTCCAAATCCCTCTTAAAAATTCCACTGTCGTATAAATCCAGCGACTTCGACTCAACGACACCAGTTTTGATCGCGTCAAGGAAAAGATCCACATCGAGGCTGGACTTGTGGGCGAATATCCTCTCCTCCACCAGCCCCACCATCGTGGAAGGGATGATAGTCTGGATCGTCAGCAATGCGAACAGAGGGGTTTCCATACGGTTTTTTCGTCGCCGCCGACGAGGATTGCGAGAGTTCCATTACGAGGGACGGAGAAATTGAGGGAGAGGAGAGAATGTGAATGAGGGACTTTTATATCACATTTAATTATATATATATATTTAATCATTTAACAGAGTCATATCTATTTAACAAACACAATTAGCTTTTTTTTATTGGGCTAAAAACACTTTTTACAAACATAATTTACTAAACATTTTACTACTTTATTTCACATCTGTTTATTCTCACGAGAATATTTTTTTTTTTTTTTTTTTGAACAACAATATCAAACTTGCTCTAAGAAACATCATTACTTCTATACCCAAATACCACAGAACATGCCCGATAGATCAAAAATTCGAAAAGAGGAAAACTAGTGATAAGGGGGCAGAAAAATAACAAGATAAAATGGCCAGTAAATCTATCAATGTTTCCTCCCTTTAAACTGAGTCCCTGGCCAATAATTGTCGTTGAGCTCTGCTAGGCAACGGCCTCCACAGGATACCTGTCAATGCAATCTTCCCATGGACTATGAGGAGAAGCTTTTACACTTTGAAGAACCTCCCACACCGCACTGTTACATTTGAAACCACTGCCGAAAGCAATCTGCCAGACACGGTTTCCCTTTTGCATCCTCCCCTTTGCCTCGATATAAGCCAACTCATACCAGATCGAACTAGACGAGGTGTTACCAAACCTGTGGAGTGTCATCCGAGACGCCTCAACATGAACTGGTAGAAGCTGCAAGTTCTTCTCAAGCTCATCAATCACGGCCCTTCCCCCAGCATGTATGCAGAAATGATCAAAAGCAAGCTTGAAATCTGGGATATAAGGCTCGACTTTTGCATTGAACAACTTCTTCGCAACCAAAGTAGCAAAGAAGAGAAGCTGCTCACTTAAAGGCAGGACAAGGGGACCCAATGTTGTGATGTTAGCCTTGAGAGCCCCACCGGCAATTGCCATGAGATCCTTGGACAAAGAAACCCCAGTTTTCCCATCATCATCCTGCTCTTGATAAACACACCTAAATGCCTTATCATCAGCACCACAATGAGTCCTCACAACGTGGACCAGCTTATACTTAGCCCGACGCCTATCCATGGACTTATTTGAAAGCAAAACTGCTGACCCACCAACACGGAACAAACAGTTGGGTATCAACATGGATTTCTTGTTCCCAAAGTACCAATTCTGAGTAATATTCTCAGTACTAACAACAACCGCGTATGTATTCCTATGAATTTGCAACATATCCTTAGCAAGATCAACAGCTATAACTCCAGCACTACACCCCATACCCCCTAAATTAAAACTTCTAATATTCCCCCTCAATTTGTACTTATTAACAACCATAGCAGACAGTGAAGGAGTTGGATTAAACAAACTACAATTCACAACAAGAATACCAATGTCCTTAGGCTTAACATTTGCATTAGCAAACAGATCATCCAATGCACCAAAAATCACCTGCTCTGCCTCCTCGCGGGCCGCCGCCATTGATATCCTTGGTGGAATGTAATTCATTGCTTCAGGGACATAAGTCTCCTCTCCAAGGCCAGATCGCTCCAGAATCTTGCGCTGGAACTCAAGCGAGGACTCATTGAAGTCCCCTATCAACTTTGAATGCTCCATAAACTGGTGGTATCTCACTTTCAAATGCGACGGGGCCTTGTAACACGAATAGTCCACAAGGTAGACGGATCCCGGACGGGTCATAACATTAACAGTGGATCCAAAAACAACCATAGCAGAGAAAATGATGACAGCAACGAGATTGCACTGGAGTTGGAGCCAGAGCTGGTGAATGTCATCCGGGTTCAACAGGGAGGCTTCAATGACGATGACTGCCACTAGAGGAACTAAACAGAGAGTCAGGAGATGGGTTATCAAGTAATGGTAACCCAATTTCACATACTTCAAGTTCACAGTCTGCAAGAAGTCCAGCGGCCGACGGCTCTGAACTCCACCATTGGTGGTCGGAGAAATGCACATGATGGGTTTGCTAAACGGTAGCAGAGAGGATTCAGAGGTTTCTATCTGGCGAAAAGGATGATGTGTGTAGGTGAAGAGGACGGGTCTGAGGAGAAGATAAGGAGTTGAAAGTTGATACAGCTAAAACATCGACAGAGAGAGGTTTTGAGGGTTTGGTGTCCTATTTGTGTTTGTTCTGCTACCACTCTACCATTTGTCTCTGTTTAGTATAAGATTTGTGAGGAAGAGACGAGGGAGTGATGCAAGAAATGGACTGATAAAATTTTAGGAGGGGGAGGGTTTTTAAATATGGGGGGACGGATGTTTCAAATGGAAACACGGGAGAGGGGAATGCTGATGGGGAATTGGGGGCGATTGCTTGTGTCCTTTCCCAAATAGGCAAATGGTGATTGCTTACCTATATATTGTATCTTAGCTTTAATTAAATTTCTTCATTTATGCATCTTTACTCAAAATTTTAATTTGCATCTTTAGTCCCCGTGTTTTCGATTTTGCTAATTTAGTACTCCTTTTTTTTAGAGAAATTAGATGAAAAATATCTTTAATTGGCTAATAGTGATAAACACAAAGACAAAACTGGCCAAATTGAAAACACAGGGCCTAAATTGACCAAATGACTCAAACACAGGGACCAATTTAACATTTAAGCCTATATGATACCTATATCATAGGTTGATAAAATATGTTTAACCAATGATAGAGGTGTCTACAAAATAAATCAAAATTATCTACCTATCATCCATGAACATAGTTCAAAGAAATTTCATTTTTCATACAATTATAGATCTATATTATTATATATGTTAATAATAATATATAATACATACGAAATACATTAGTTAACACAGTTAATGTGATAACCTATCCCTAATTTTACAAGTTTATTAATATTTAAAAGAGTGAATTGACGAAAATACCCTACTGGCGAGATTGTTCATTTTCGTTCACTTTCATTTAGTGACTCGTGCAAGTTACTATTTTATCCTACTCTCAAAGTTCTCGACGGGATGATTGCATAAGCGTAATCTGAATCGAAACCGGAGTTACGATAGGGGTTTTACGGAACTACAAATCCAAAAAGTATTTTTGTAAAAATTAGTATTTATTATTTTATATATTCCTCCTAATTATTATATTATTATTTTAAGATTATTTTGTGAGAAATGAGGAATAAAGGAAGAACGAATCGGAAAGGAGGAGAAACAAAGGAAGAAGGACGGGGCAGAGCTGCCCAATCGGAGGAGAAGAGATGAGGACTGACCAATAAGAACCAGGAGAAAGAAGGAAGAGGAGAGAGGAAGAGAAAGGGAGTGGACTAATAGCAGAAGAGAGAAAGGAGGGAAAGGAGGGAAGGGGAAAGGCAGCCAAAACCTTCCCCGACCCGTTTGACCCACGCAATCCAATTGAATGTCCAAGTTCCACATCAATTTCTGATGCCATCTCCGGCGTTTCTTCGGTGATTCACGGCGTGGGACCACTTGGAAACAACTTAGCATCAATCTCTCCTCCATATTCACCCAAAAATCGAAGACATTAGTTCCGATTTCATGAGAACCGCATTTGTGGGTGCGAGGGAACTTTGATGGCGATCCACCATTTCTGAAGTGTTTCTCTTCGATCATCACCACCTTCGGCATCCTCTTGAGGTTAGGAACAAACCCCAAACAGGTTTGGGGGCGGTGGAACACCGGAGAAGATGAATTGAAGTGCATCCATTTCTAGGGTTTCGACGGGTTCGTGGCGACTTGAGGATTTGCCCGGCCAAATTAGACTTGACCACAAGTATAAAACTTGTTGTACTCGTTGAGATATTCATTCTTATAAAATTTGAGAATTTTTGAAAATAATTGAATTTTTCGTTGCGTGCCACGGCGGTGGGCAGAGTCACTACTTGACCACCCTAGGCTAAAATGGGTGCCATGATTCCATATTAGACATTTAATTGATGAAATTCTATTGTTTAGTTATATTTCTGTTAAGGGCCGCCACTTGGTTATTATATGATTTGACAATCCAGCCATTGGATCATCACTAAACATTAATACGTAATAGTACATAATAATTAAGGATATTAGAAAATGATGGATTATTGGGAATCTGACGTACGAATCTTCCCAGACGGGTTTTCTAAGTTTGCAAATGTAAATTTTGGCTGCCACTTAATTTTAGCGATTAGTGGACATCTAACTGTTGGATCACTCTAAAACTTTAGGATGTTATTCTAAAAGCTTATTGAAACTCTTGGGAAGTTACGGATCTGAAATCTGAGATGCAGATCTTCCGCATCGAGTTACGTAGGGTTGTCGACCCTACCTTTGACCGATGGTTAACTTTTGGTCAATGGGTTACAAATCATTCTAGAACTTCCTTGGGGATGTGTTTTTATGTAAGTTACGTGTTCTATCAATAAGAATTCTGAGAGGTGATTTGATATTTGTTCTAGGCGACAATCGTTCGTTACGCTTGGATATTCGTGCTAGGGAGTTATAGTGCGGACTTCAAGTGAGTGGGTCTTTTCTTTTACATAGTATGTACGTGTTTGTTAGTTTCCATTTATACATTGAAAGAGAATTTACTACGTATGCCTAGTTTAGACTAATGCTGATAAGAATTAACGAAATAACGGAAATTATGAAGTGATCATAAATCCTACAGGATGCATATATATGCGTATGTTTATTGATGCCATGATTATACCTACGGCTATGAATGATATTATGTTGATTAGAACTATCGAACCACTATGGCATGACTATATTTATGTTTTATGCTCATCGTTTGGTGCACCGGTGTTAGTGCTTGCCCAAGGCAAGGGCCAGTCTTTCGCCTGTACGTTCACATCCACACCGCACGCTCGCCTTGGATCCAAGTAAGTGCCAGTCCTGTCGTACAGGTTGCAATAGGCAACTTCGACTCATATGTGACAGTGAATAGCACTACTATTCACATGATTGTAGCACTAGAGCGTATATCATTATTACACCCTAGTCCTATTCATATCAGAATAACTCTACATGAACTCATGTGTTAGCATCTGTCGATGAGCACTTGGTTTGATATATTTGCTTATGCAAAAGTATACGATTATTGGCGCCATACACTTATATATAAACTATTGTGCCGTATTGATATCTTGATATTTTGCAGGCTACGGTGAGTATTTTCATACTATATGTAGTATGTATATCTTGGAAACTGTACATGTTTTACGGCGAAAGGTTATAACGTTTTCAAAGGTTTTCATTAAAACTTTATTTTCAGGCCCACTTACCCTTGTTTTTCGTCCCTCCATGTTTTAGTTGCTGAGCTTTCTTATCGATGAGGATTCTTGGAAAATCTTGGTGTAGACGATTACCTTCGATGGTATAATTCTCACCCTATCTTACTGTACTGTACTTATGCTCTGACATCACGTGTGAAATGGGTTCATTCCCGCTCACAACGCACTCTTATATTTAGGCACTTTAAGGTTTAAATTTATTCACATATTCCACCACACTACATTTTATGGCTTCGTCACCTTCGGAGTGTGTCAATTAACCTATGATAGAGGTAGAAGAAAAATTGAGACACAAACTAGGAGCAAGGAAAAGGAGAAACAATTATTTATTCTTATATTTAATACTAAAATTGAGTAATGATGAACGTATAAATAAGTGATGACATTATCACAATTTAATTGAAATAGATGTTCATAACAAGTGAATGGACTAACCCAACAAATTGGATTAAACCTAATAATAACTCAAAAAACTAGACTTATATCAAATTTGCTCATTTTTTTATAAAGAGAAAAAATGTTTTTGTGTTACGGCTTATTTTCACTAAGGGATGCAGCAAAGAACAGAGAGAGAGAATTGTGGAATTTCAAGGATGTCAATTTCCCTTTGCATGTGCCCTTATTTATAGTAAATCAAAGAAAGAGAGAAACTTGTCTTGCAAGTAATACAAATCCTAATAGGAAATAATCAGTCATAAAGAATGAACCAAATCTACCAAGGATTTACAGAATCACACTTACACCAGAATTGATGTCATAATACTCCCCCTTGAGTGTGTAAATACTCAAATAGTGTTCACATGAGATCTTCATGGATGATGTAAAGGCAGTTGATGTGGTCGATGACTCAATGAATGAATTTGAATCTCAAAATAAACCCGAAAGAAATGCATAAAAGGTAAAACTCACAACCTCGTTGTTACAACACCTATCTAAAAATCGTGTAGTTTAATCCCGAAGGATATGAAAAGACAAAATGACCCTAGTTGGTGTCTTGAATAATTATGGAGCCCTGAGTCAATTTCTCATATTTTTCTATTTTATTTAATTATTTTTTGTACTCACAAGTATGTCGGTCATAGCAAAATCGAGTTTGAAGTTACGAAAGTTAAGTTACGAATTTTGGTAAATGAAGGGCAAAATTGTAATTTTAACTTGGAAAATTTTGAGTGGGACTGAACCCCCATTCTCGGTTACTCTCTTCTCTTTCCTCATTTCTACAACGTTGACTCTCTCTCTCTCTCTCTCTCTCTCTCTCTCTCTCTATCACGGAGAGAAAATGTTGCTTTTCTAGTTTAAAGTGTATTGTGTTTCAAAAGGAGGATGCATGTACAAAGACATATACGTAGGAAAGAAAGAAAAGGTTACAAGTAGCCCTAGAGACCGGGTAAGCCTAGAACCCATATTCTTCCTTAATTTAAGGTGATTCACACCAAATAAAACAAGTGACCAATATTTCTTGGGAACATTCATATGCAGTACTAAAGCTCGAGTCTTCTCAAGCAGGTCTATTCTTCTTTTCTAATACCCCATTTTGTTGGGGTGTCCTTACATAACTAGTTTGGTGAATAGTGCCTTGTGAACTCAAGTACTAAACCATGTTGTTGGATAAAAACTCAATGCCATTGTCCGATCTAAGTACCTTAATGTTTGAGTTTATTGGGTTTGTACAAGTTTAAGGAAATCTTTAAATATGCAGAAAACCTCACTTTTTGATTTCATGAGGTACAGAAAAATGACAAAATACTTATAATCATCCATTGATTTAATTGTAGGTCCTCAAACATTAGTTTGTACCATCTCAAATGGCTTACATGTCTAAAAAACAGAAGTGCCAAAAGGTAATCTAACTAACATTGAAAAATGACATTTTTCACATTTAAGTGGTGACTGACAAAACATGGGAAACAACTTTGACAAAACAACTTCAGAAGGATGAGCAAGTCTTTGGTGCCATAATTGCTGGTTTTCAAAAAACTTTGGTCCAGCTTGAAAGGCTCTAGGCATGATTGAGTTTTTGCACATGTAGTAGAGATCATTAAG